GTCCAGCCGGGCTTGAACTCTCGTTGCGAGCCCCGCCAGACTTGGCAGGCGTAACTGGTACCGTCGGTTGTCCTTTCCCCATGTTTCTAGTTTTCGTTTTCTTGTTCTTCTTCTCTTGGTAGCTTGTAAACTGGAAGGACATACAAACAGTTCACAATGGTCACACCCTGTTCCCGGGTGGTGGCATGTTGGAATTCCCACGTGACCTCTAGCTACAAACGTAGCTAGGACGTTCCCACAACAATACGTCTGCTTGGATAGCAAAAGATAGTTTGGGCGGACCTGAAGCCCCAGTTCTGCCCTTGCACCGGGACAGACTGGGCCTTGTAAACTACTTATATAGGCCAACCAGTAAAAAAAGAATACGCTACTAGCACGAGCAAAGCTAATAGATGTTATGAATCCTCGTGGTCCCAACAGCGGAAGGGTACCAAGCACGGGTAAGCCTTTTACGAGGGCACCGAGTGTTCAACACTCGGTTGGAAGAATAAAATGGATGCAATACAAGCTCTTCCAGTCGTGCAAATAGGCAACAATAAGCCGTCACGTAAAACATCCCGATAGCAATCGGCCAAAACACACAGTCTCTTGGCCTTGTCGTATGAACCCTCGCTAAAGAGCTTCGTATTCACCGACAGGCGTAACACACTCAAACAAGCTTGACCAGACGCTTACCTTGAAGCCGGACGTCGCTCTGTGTGCTTGAGTGGAAATTCTGTTATGTATTTATGTTTACCCTTTCGTGTCTATTCCTAATAAGAAGTCCTAATCAAGTAAACAAATATCAAGTAAACAATGATCCGTTATGGATCTTCTTGCACGCCAAGCGTCGTCTGCACCGTCGCATGAGTATCTTTAACGGCCCGCGCCCTGTCCCAGACGGTGTACGTGTCTTCCAAGGGTCGCTGAGTCTTCCGAGAACTCATCCGAACCGCCACCGAGGGTTCGTACCGTAGATGTTCAGTTCTTGGCCGCTGAATGCGAATCCGGCCAGTCCATTATTAATAATAAGGACAGCCTGGGTTCAGTGACATATAAGCTGTATCCAGTATCCGTTGAGAGTTCGGCAGCGACGCCGTCGTGTCCCTTGCACCTTGGCGTCACCGTACATCCCATGACCGAGGGTTCGTCGCTTGAACATCTTGGGCCGTCACGTCTTTGTCGACGTGTGATAATCCGCAACTACGGAGAAATTACTACACCACACTAGCTGGTCAGTCGTTCTGAAGTCGCGTTCTATCTGTGCAGGCGAAGACGGAATAGTATACACAATGCGTGCTACCATCGACAGAAATTGAAAAGTATTGCTCTCTGCCTGACGCCTCCAAAACTCCAGTACCATCTCCGGACGATTGCCGTTTGCTTGAATAGAGGTCGGCGTCGCCTCCCACCTCTCTCGAACTCTTCACCAACGCGACTATTATTTATGTCGGCAACGGTTGCGGGCTCCATGTGGGTATCAGGCATCAGATCTCCAAAGCCATCCATCAGGTCCTCCGAGAAGAGTCTTGGATGAGGTGCTGGCACCGTCTCGTAACAGCTCCAGACATGCGCGTTGCGAAGCTGCAATGCGCATGTCTGGAGTTGTTACCACTGACAGCATTACCGCCCGCACTTTGTCGTAGATAATTTTCTTGATCTTGGCAAAGTGTCGTTCTCCAGCAGCAGTGGCAGTCCCATTTTCATCCGTATTGCACAGGAAAATCATTTTCTTCAAAACTCCATCAAAAAAATTGAAGTTAGGATGCAAGAAAAGCTGCATCTCCAACACAATTGATCATAACCTTACGGTTTGTGTAACGGTAGAAGAATCGTTCGTGAAAGGCGTCTTGAAGCAGTGAGCGCGTGGAGGTAGCCAATGCAGTAAGGTCCTTGGGTCTGAAGGTCATTCGGTGAGTCTTGGTAGAGCGATAGTCCCGTAGTTCCTTCGAGCAATCAACGCTGTAGTACGCGGCTTGTACAAGGTCAACAAAACTTTGACCTGGTTTGCACCTTCGCCCTGACTCTTGATGTTCACTTGAGTTATGGGCTGCAAAAGCGACAAAATCTGTGTGAGATTCTGATAATCTCTTTTCAGCGGAAATCCAGTAGTAGATCCGTGCTTTCACTTCGACCTTTATCCAGACGCTCTGCGTACCAGGATACTAAAGGCTCCCACAGATCGAGAATTCTCTTGATCATACGAGTAAGACCCAAAAATCGGTGAGCGCGGTATTCTAATAGCTGTTGAGGTGCTCGATTACTCTTACCATAGTCGTACAGCACTTCGCAATGAGCCCGTGACTTCAACATGCTTCACCGTGTAAATGGGCTTCACAATACGACGGATCAGGTCTGTCATTACAGGGTTCTTAGACGTGGAAGCGTTGGTAGCCATACCACAGGCAGCCTTAGTAGCTGCATTAGTCATGTGAGGAATACATGTACACCACTGCCACTGGAGCTTGAGGCCCTCACTCATCATATACTTGACATCAGGCCCTGCATCTGACGTAGCCCCGAATAAGTCTCGCAGCGTCAATCCAATAACGTGTAAAATGTATACGATGCAGCGCTTAATGGGCGCCGTATACCGCCTTGGCGCTCTCCATGATGAGGTACGAAGTGACGAGTACCAAGCAGAATCGACTCAATATCAAACTTCATGTACAATCGAAGTCCAACATATTTAACATTTTGCATCTTTGAGCTCCAAAAGTCAGGTGCAGCGGTAAATGTTGGAGCAGAACCAACGCGACTCAGCGGCAGCTTCCCTTCCAGTACCCGCTTCGTTGACGCATACAGCTTCACAATCGAATGGCATACAATTTTTGAATTAATAGTTGCCTGCTTGAAGACGAGCTCACGAATGGTGATAGATTCTTCATACTCACCAAGTCGATACGGAAGATTGTTATATACAATACGTAGCGTCTCTATCAAGACGTACACGCGAGCTGGATCATCACGAAACATTTGCGAGTCACGAACACGTTCAAGCTCATTTTCACGGGAGCGCCGTCGCTCTTGGGTCGCATCTGTTTTTTCTGATGTGATTTCGTGAGCTTTCTTAAGATCCTTGGTTGCCGCAAAAGTTTTCCGGTCGAAAGCGGGAAGGACACATCCCTCTCACGGCATACCTCGCCGGCCAAACACATCCAGATTGCAGGAGAAGAAGGGTTGGGTTCCGCGGAAGGGTTCTCGAGGGCTTCGACCAGCCGTACCCCAAACGCAAAGATGACGGACTTATCATTCCGACGCGGAGGCAGAATGATGAAGCCGTCCGGCGGTTCAAATGCATTGATTACGTCACGGATACTTGGAGGTATGCATTAGGTGCGAGGCAAACCTTGGTAGTTGCGTACAGCGAGGAAGTGTGTTTGGGTCGCTGCCCGCAGAAATTATAATGTGCTGTGAGACGCAAGTATGCTGGGCTACGGCACTGATGTTACCGCTGTTGGCTGCAAGCATTAGCAATTTGCCTGTCGATCGTTTAAAAGGCGCTACCCCTCCGTATGACAGATGTCATATAGAGGAGTTGCGCCTTTCATGACACCAATGGATATGTAGAAGTTTTATGCCTGTTCGACCGCATATTTAGATGCCCGATCCGGCTGGAAAAATTTGGTTCAATGGTACTTTTATTAGCGAATCAAAAAGGGAGACAGTCGGGAGATTAATAGCCTGGTGTGGAGGCATATGAAACACTTGGCGGTAACCCAGGTCGCCGCAAATAAAACCGAGCTTTTGGAGGATTATTTATTTTTGTTTGGGAGGCTCACTTCCAAAGTGGCCGAGGTTAGCGAGAATGACCCGCCGTCGTAGTGGAGGTTCACAAGCAACCGCTCCCCGGCGTAAGCGTAAGAAGGGCCCTACTCGAAGCGAGGCTGCATTCCGTCGAGCTGTCGAAAAACTTGGCGTCGAGTCAGTAACGAAACTGCGCGAGGATTGGAGTTCTTGGGACACCCGCTACGATGGCTCCGAGTGGCAGCAGTCTGAGGGCGTCGTGATGCATCTCTTGCAGCAAGGTCTATCGCAGTGTGAAATTCGGGCCATTATTCCGGTCGGTGGCTCACGTGTTGACCGTCTGCGCAAGATTCGTAAATTGGGTCCTGAGGAGTGGCATAGTCGCAGATCTCAGGCAGCACCACGGCACGCCTTTGGTGACGAGGACATTGAGGCTTTTAGAAAGCACAGTGCTACTTGGATTTTAGAAGATGGCTTTCCATGTGCTCATCGGCGTCCACGGAAATATTTTACTGAGCCCAATTTGACGTGGGTCGTGGTTCATGCACGCTACGTTGACGATATCACACGCAATGAACCTACCGCACGAACGCTAAGCTACTCTAGGTCTACGCAGTATGTGCACTTCTATTACCCGGGAGTTCGGCTCACAAGAACTGCAGAAGACGTTTGTGATTGCTGTGTCAGACTGGATATTCGGTTGAATGACCCCGACACCAGTGAAGCTGAAAAGAAAAATATTTTACAGGAAGAAAAAAACACGCACATCAATGAGGCCATCGCTCAGCGTAGGTTTGTGTCAAAATTAATTAAATCTTACACGGCCTTGCATGCACCGGACCAACAACTACCAGATGACATTATTCCTGACACATACGACACCTGCGATGATGACACCATTGTTGAACCGAATAGTGAAGATGATGGCGAACATAATGTAATGTGTTCAAATACAAGCGGAGGATTTTGGTGGGGGGATATCGATGCCGCATTATGGCCATTCACGTCCGTCCTCGGATTATTTTAACAGCAACCTGATCATCCAGAATTTTGTTGTAGCCGATATTACAAACAAGCGAAACAACGTCTACTTCTACAGCGAGCGCGCCCAGGGTAAGTGAGCCGATGCTCTTTGCAGCCTAAGACTGCTATATCACTTATCCACCTTACAAAATGATGCCCGCAATGGCGTGCCACCTGCCGAGATAAGTTTGAGTCTTCTTGACAATTGCGTAGGACAGAACAAATCCAAGGTGGTCATGAAGGTTTTCGCGATGCTTTCCGTAGTGTTCCTGTACAAGAAAGTGGTGTTATGTTTCTTGTTACCTGGTCACTCTCACAACATTGCCTATCGCGTCATTGCATGGTGTAGGCGTGTTACACGCAAAATGAACTTATATGATCCACTGCTTCTCGTGGAAGAAGTGAACAAGTAAAAAGTGTTAATGGGATATTTCTCGACCACAACAAACCAGACCACCCTTTTTTCGAACATGAGGCACATTACTCAGCAAATACTTTATTTCTCCTCCATCAGGTTACACCTCGAACTATCTTTTTGAGATAGATCAAGGAGTTTGTACTGCGCGCAAAACAGTTAACGCGCCGGATAGTGAAACCTGCACCTATGTAATGATTAATCCGAACAGTCTCGATGAGATACGAAACACTTTTATCACCGAGCTCCTTGGAATTCATGCTCGCACTATTTGGGAAGCTTTCATTCACAGCGTCCGGCTACCGCGCTGTAAAACTAAAGAGTTGTCAGAGAAAAAGTTGAAATCGTTATCAGCAAAGTATTTTTCGATACCACAGGAGTTCTTGGTCTACTACCCAGCCGTACCAGAGCCAATCGTAAACGCTCCACAACTCGACTCCACAATCAGCGATACAGACGTACCAGCTCCATCAAATGAGAAGCGAAAACCAGGGCGCCCCAAGAAGAAGCAAAACACGTTGAAATCGAAGCAGCCTTCGATCCTGCAGTTTTTCGACATGGCCCAGAGGCCGTCGAGCTAACTCTTTGATAATGCATGTACATGTATATTGCTTACATATTATACCTGCATACTACCGGTAGTTTTCCCAGCTGTCGGGGCACGATGGTAACCCGAATTCCCGCCATCCGCTTCATATAGAGATCATGAAACCGACGGGCGAAGAACTGACGAGGATCTTTAGAGATTGCCGTTTCGTCTCTTTTTCAGAGATTTGCGGAAGAGACAGCTCTCTTTCCGCACGGGAGACAGTAATACCGGACTGGCGTTAGAGCACCATTAGGTTACAACAATACGACAGCCTACCAGCACCCTTATCGCACTGCGGCGCCATTTTTACTGAAAGGCACCCTTAATAACGAGAATAAATTACCAACAATTTAGCGTAAAGAGGCGAAGTTTCAGAGTAGTGACATCGCCAGTGAGAATTTTACAACAGGGGCACATCGAATTTTCAGCTTCTTTTAAGATAAGCTTACAAATACAAGCGCGAGCCGAAGAAGAGTGTCGGCATGGATCAGCAATTATTGGTACGCGAGCTCCTGCGCTCCAGAGCCCACGAGCTTCAACAGCTTCAAGACAAGGTGCACACGATGACGGAGGCGCTAAACGACCTAATCTTCGCTCGCGAGGAGCTCGAAGAGATGCTCGTACGAGAAACAGAGGCAATCAACGAGCTGACTGCAAGCGTTGGAGAGACCCCTGGGCGAGGTGGATACACTCCATCTTATGGAGTTCTGCTGGGGCAAGTGGTCAGGCTACTACGGCGTGATCCTTCAGGGCAGTGAATCGGTGGCATATGATTTACAATATGATTTTCAGAGTTTGTATGAAGAGTGCAGTTTTTTTTCTTTAAGATTATGATCTCACTGCTGCCTGTTGAGTTCTTGCTCATTTTGCTGACATAACCTTGCTAATTGCTTCATCTGTTTCCTGCATTTTCTTGATGTTCTCTTCACTAGGCGTAGCCCTCTTTGTTGTGCACAACAGTAGCCGCGCAAGTCTCAATCTCATAACTCGTGTGTACGCCTCCGTGATACGATGACGCTTGAACCTGTGGGCGTTACGCACGAACGCGTATATCATTCCAAAAATCTTAAGACCGCAGCTTGAGCCGTCGGGCTGCGCAGGTTCGCTAACCCACCTCTTAATTATTTCTTTCGGGAATGACTCCTTGGCTCCACTTTCTGAATGCCAAATCTCCAAATACGCTAGCAACTTGTCCTTCCACACATTTTTTATTTCTGCCCGATATCGCTGCTGGTGGAGTGGCTCGTAGAAATTAACTCTTAGCGTCGTAGGGAATGCCTTGGGCGTGCACATCCACGCCTTGGTCCTGGTCACCACAATGCCTTCATAGCTTGGTGGCAGAGACAAAGTCTCCGCGACGCTTTCTCCGGCCTTGTCACTCGCTGTGCCCGACTCTTTTTCCGCTTGGACGCTTGATTTCTTGGTCTATGATGTGCGCGTGGAGCTGAAACAAAGTTTAATCGCAATTAGTCATATCGCATGCAATGCCTTCCAATCTAGCGCATAGAGGAGCGAACCTCGCCCATGGCGTCGTGCAGGGGCTGCATCTATTCGTAAAAATGATCGATAAAGTGAGCTTGGGTCAGAATTCTGCAAACGCCAAATTAAGAATCATACCAATTTCGTCCAGAATGCCCTGCAAAGTGTCGCTCGAATCGCTCGCAGGCTCGAAGTCTTCGTCGCGGTCGTCGTCGCTGGAAGACGAGCTATGCTTGAATAGGTCGTCGAGGTCGTCTTTAAATGGTAACAACACGTGTCGGCAAACCCCAAATAAAATAAACAAGGTGCTAGATGTACGTACCGTCAGACATTGTTTGCGGAGTGCACTTCCAAGGGTCAGTGTCGCGTTGCGATCTTCTAGTGACGGGCGATTAACCTTCGCGGGAAAAGCGCGCGGAAACGTTCGCGCGATGGCTTCTGACACGTGGCACGGCTACGATTTGTCGTAATTAGTTGAGTTTACTGTACGCGTTGGTTATTTTCGGCGAACCTAAAATTTGACGGTAATTTTTACACACTCGAAAAATCAACGAAAACGTTAAGGGTGCTGTAATTTTAAAGCACCCTTATTGGTACTTTTTATGCAAATTTGCTCGAACAACTTCGGTAATACCGGTTAAAACCGCCTCTACTGAAGTCGCCCCGGAAGCAGACCCGACGAGTCACAGGTTCCGCTGCAAACGCGAAGATCTTGGCAAACGTTTCGTGGTCCATATCTCGCATCAGACGTCGCGGTCCGGAGGGCGTGCAGTGTTTCTTGTTCGAATTCTTGAGCTGGTTCGGAACAACACTCAACAAGGCAATTTTAGGTTCCACGTTGAGTTTGTGGCCGATGACTTCGTGGTGGTGTCGGATGAAGCCAGCCAAGTAGTTCTGGTGCTCGGACGGCACGCTAACTTCCAGGTATTCGAGGTACTTGTTGGCATTGAGCATGACCAGAAGAGTCTCCAAGCTGCGACGCACGAGTTGGAGCTCGAAGTCGCTGTTGTCGGCCTCAATCGCAGTGGGTAAACGCACTCTCAGCTGACTAACGCACTTCACCAGAGGGTTACTTGTGTTGCTCAAGGTCGTGGCGAGTCCGGCCACATTGTCCCAGTCCAGACGCAGCGTAGAAAACAGCTGACACGGAACACCGGCGTTGAACTTGAACTGCACATCCATCAGTCCTCGGTTCAAGGTTAACTCTCGCAGGTTCGGGCAGCATCGAAGGACCACACTCGGGTCCACTGTCTCCCCCGGGTTTTTGATCGTCAGGTACTGAAGCGACGGTCCAATGGCTGCCAAGAAGCGAGGCAGTCCGTTCGAAATCGCGGTCGCGTTTAGTCTCAGCGTCAACGACGTTAAAGCCGGACGCTTGTGGCCTGGAGATCGCACTGGCTTGAGCACCAAGTCGCTACGACGCACACGGCACCGACCAAAGCCTGGAACGATCGCGTTGACCCACTCGCTGGCCCCATCGTCACCGAACGTGTGTAACAGGAATCTGCACGATGTGAACGTCAGACTGCGTGGCTGAGCGTTGGCAGTGATGTCGTACTGCACCATTGCGCCGTCCTTTAATGTGGCTTCTCGACCCTCCATGGAGCCTCGAGGACAGTCGAACAAGAGCTCCTCTGGGTGTTCCGAGTCCACGATGGCCAAGAAAGTCTCGACATCGGACACACTGATACTACCGACGTGGCCGAGATCGAGCGACTGCAGCGCAGAGTGAGCCCGTGCTCGCTTGGAGAAGCATCCGTACGCCAGCCATTTCCACCAAAACGTGGTCTTCGGTTGGTCGTGACTCATGAGATCCACCCACACCGACAACTTCTGCGTCGTCTGGTTCAGTACTGCGGCAGAGAACAAGGCTTCCGTCTCCAAAGGGTCCAACGCGACATCGTTGTGCAGCACCAGCGAACCCAGTTGAAGTGGCTTCACTGAACCGGTACGAGACCGGTACTTTGTGTTCGACAACTCCGGTCCACGTCGCGCTCCGTCGAACACTGCGATCATCATCTGACGGAACGCAATGAGCGAGTCCGACTGGTCTCCTTCAGCACACTTGGCTCGCACGGACAGAAGCGAGAACCAGACGTTGTTAAACAACAGTCGCTCCAGTGTTCCAGCGGTCTTGGCGATGCTCTGAGCAACTTGAACATCGGCAATCATTGGCTCGAGCGCAAAGGTGCATCTGATGGAGCCTCGAGCGACTTCCTTGCTGCCTTCCGACTTGAGAAAGCGCTCCCACTCGCGGCGAATCGCCTTCTCCGCCCGTGCCACGCCCGTCAACCCCTTCAGCAGCTGTTCCTGGTATCCTTCCACTATCTTGTCCCCCTGTCCAGGGCCGAAAGCCACTCGAATAGGCACCTCCACGTCCACTCCCGGACTGTCCGGACTTAAGTGTCCCGCTATCTCTGAGACCCTCTTCATTGTCTCCACATACTCGACGCTGGGCTGCTCCCGCTGGTTGACACCGCAGAGCTTGACCAGATCGGCAGTTACTTTCGAATGGTCCTCCAACTTGAGCACGAAACGCGCAGGGAGATGCTCTGGGAAATTCTCTTCCCCTTGTTTCCACCAGTTCAGTTGACACTGAGTCACCAGTAGCCACTTCCACGCAAAGTGGTCCACATGCGCCACAGCCGCTAGAACGGCCAGAGCTTCGCGTACTTCGACCAATTCGAGCTGATACGTGCCCTCGTGCTGCAGTTGCGGACGCAGATAGTCGGTGCGCTTGGGCAGCGTCACATGGAGGGCGCGCGTCTTGCTCTCCCAGCTCTCCTTGCCCGTCCCCTCGCACTTGAAGACGGTGTAGTGCACATTACGCTGCAGAACTTGGCACCACGGGGCCAGGAACCCCCAGCGCTGCGCCACGTCGGACTCGACCATTCAATTGATTTCTGCACTCCTGCCCTCTTTGCGAACTGACGACTGACGCAGGTGGTGAATTTTGGCGAATTAAAACGGGAACGGGGATCGATAGTAAACTCAAGAGAGCATGTCGCAGGGAAGAGTGATGGTAAGACTTCAAGTTAGAGTGAAGCTCTGTAGCCATGTCATAATTGTCCAATTGATAAAAGGTAGAGGTCGATAATACATTAGTATTGTAGATTCCTCGATTCGGTGTTTTATGACGGAGGAAGGAGAGTGGTGATGTGTGCGGCCTACTGAGTGGGTTTTAGATGATCACTTCAATGGAGCGCGCACTTGAGGCCAAGCTCGAAAAGGTTACAATACTTCTTCCATGGCTACACTGCGGACAATTGCCATTTTACTTAAGGCGAATTAAACCGATTTTCGTATTGCCAATAGTACAGCAAAAAATCTAAATTGTTGTTTACGGGAGAACGGTTATATTTGGCAAGATATACCGAGGGGGGAGTGTTCTTGAAGCTATAATGCCAACAATAAATACATGTATGAGGTTACCACGCACTTCGTGAAGTATGAATAGTACTTTAAGAGTGCCACAAACGTAGTAATTAAAGGACTTTACTAGTTCAAATAAATGGTAGCTGGTTTGCACCAATAATAGCAAGTGTTGCGGTTTTGAAGCTTTGAGAGCCTGTGAATGTCACAATAGAAAAAAACTCAAGCTAGTATACTGTTTTGGACCATTCGTCTATTATTCGGTAGATAATACGCGATGCGTTTGTCTACTGTAGTTTGAGAAACGTTGAAATCGTCAGAGTGCACGTCGTACTTTGCCTAGCACCTGAGCCACCCGAAGGAATATCTCCTATCTCGCCAAGCTTCGGACATCTTGGCTGCTCTGTAGCCTCTCATTTCCGCCTCCAGTTTTAAAGCAATGTCCTTGTAAGCCCCCTCATTATCACTGGCTTTCGCCTGATCAATCATCTTCTTCAAGGTAGCGTCATCATAGTGTTTCCTCAGCATCGAGAGCATCAGCTTATAAGAGTCATCATCGACGAGGGATCTCAGATAGAAGGACCAACTGCTCAACATCGGGTTTACAAAGAGGTCGCCTTCGTTTCTGTTCAATTGGAGAAGTTTGAAAATGTCATCGGCCGTTTTCCCCTTGCTGTGCCACTGCTTCTGCAGCAGTTCGTCCACTTTCCGCCGAGGTATTAACCGTTTGTTTTCATTCCACGCAGCGACAAGAAGCCTCGTTGCTACATCATCAGTAAATCGCGTCTTCAGTTGAGAGAACAGCAATACGACCGGTTTTTTTTTCAGCTCGTCAGCGTATGAGACCCACATGTTCAGCTTAGGATTCTTCACAAGCTCGTCTCCGCTAACAACGTTAAGCCGAAGACGCGAGAACAATTTCTCTGGTGTAAACTGGCTCGACTGCCAGCTCTGAAGCTGGGCTTTCATGAGGTGACCAGCGATGGAAGATGTACTGTCGTCTCTCTGTGCTGTAGTGATCACGCGTGCAAATCCTTCGTCGTCAAAGCGACTTTTTAGCATGAGTAGCAACAAATTATACGGATCCGCTTCTCCTAGTTTTTTCACGTAGGAGACCCATATATCGAGGTTAGGATTCCTCAAAAGCTCGTCTCCGCTGCCAACGTTAAGCCGTAGACGCGAGAGCAGATCGTTTGGTTTTAATCCATTCGACTGCCAGTGCTTAAGTTGTGCTTGCTTGAGATTCGAAGCAATGAAAGACGTTCTGACATCTTTCTGTGCTGTAGTGATCACGCGTGCAAGTCCTATTTCGTTATAGCGTCTTCCCAGCTCGAGCAGCAACAACTTATACGGTTTCTCTTTTCGAAACTTGGACACGTACGAAACCCACAGATCGAGGTTAGGATTCCTCAAAAGTTCGTCTCCGCTGCCGATGTTAAGCCGTAGACGAGAGAACACGTCGTTTGGTTTTAATCCATTCGAATGCCAGTGCCGAAGTTGGGCATCCTTGAGGCTCAAAGCAATGGAAGATGAACTGACACCTTTCTGTGCTGTAGTGATCACGCGTGCTAGTCCTTCGTCACCAAAGCGATTCTTTAGCTTGAGCAGCAACAAATTATACGGATCCTTTTTTTAGTCTTTTTCCGTAAGAATCCAGGTACCCAGCAACGGGTTCTTCAAAACGTTGTCTTCGTCCACGTTCAGCTTCAATCGCGCGTATATTGTATCCAACCTTTTACCCTTAGTCATCCATCTGTCCAGCAGCATGGATTCAATCCCTGTGGCAGCCCGTAACGTCTGTGGGGCGCGTTTGGCTTCGGTAATAAGCTTGGCTAAAGCTTCGTCGCTGTAGTGAGCAGTTAAGGTTGAAAACATCGCAGCTTCGGCCTTTCCAGGCTCATTGCTGTAAAGTTTGGCGACAAACTGAGCCCATTCTTTATACGCTGGAGACTGGAAAAACTGTGAATCGGCCTTACCGACTTCGAGACTTGCGAAAGACGATTGATGGCCCTCTGGTTTTTGGAAGGAAATGTGTCTTTTACACTTGTTGCGAGTCTCTTCATCCGTGAGCTGACTAGGTTCTTTAGAGCTGCAGCTCCTGGCAGCTTAACGTCGATCGCTCTGTCTTCAGAATCCCCTCCAGGGATTGATCGTGTCAAGAATCGATTGCCTTGAGCATCCACGCCGTGCTTCGAGGCTTCATTTTTCGTGGTATTCGCGTCGGATGCCGCCACTGGGCCTGGGAAACTGCATACCAGCAACACAAGAGCTGAAAACAATATGAGGTCGCTGGAGCGAATTCTAAGGTGTTGGCGGACATTGCTTTTATAGGGAGATGACTGAGTACCGGGAAGCAGATTAAGAACTGACAGAGTTCTACTCAATTCTGCAACCTTTTTTTTACTTGCAACACAATCGTCGCTGACGCATAATCATCGCTACCCACATCTTCGCCAATACCGGTATCTGACCGACAAAGAGCTCTAACTATACAGACAATCCTTTCAGACGTGTTGCAAAGAGATCAGAAATTATTCGGGTTTACGGCCTATGTACTAGTATTATAAGGCTATGTTTCATTTAAGAATAAGTAGCGGAATAACTTCGCCGGAATAGCGAATCAAACGAAACAGATTCGATATAAGTTGATCTCGTGGAAAACATTTTGCGTTTTCCATGTGGCAACAAAATAGTCTGAGAAACCTCTTTACTTTGACCAGTCTAATGAAGCCCCAAAGTACGCTAGGCATTTATGAAGTATATGCACGTGTAGAAAATGTTTCCGGAATAAATGGATACCCTTGTCGATAAATATCGTACAAAATAGAAGGCGCGGCGATAAAAAAAAACTAATGCTACCCAAAATCGTCGACGCAAATTAAACCTTTCCATTCACAAGATCAGCTGTTCTAGACGCCAATTATTTCACGCGTAACAGGAAAATCTCAGGGGTATGGCAGCTCTAAAAACAACTGGAAATTATTATGGCTTGAAAAATAAACTGTCGATTCTTAAGTGGGCCGGACTGATTTACCATTACCCAAGTAGGCGTAGCGCTCGTCGCGTCGTCAACTCGCTCCGTTCGCTGATTCCTTGTAAGACAGCATATTGATATGACGTCCGTGATCGGACACATTACAAAGTCGCAGTTTCTTAGGGAAGGTGTACTAACATTTTCTCCGGTGTCGAGGGGAAATCGCCCTATCCTTATTTCCCGGTCGAATTTCTTGCCGACCTTTTTCGCCAAAACCGACTTAAGTACGATTTTCGCTTGTCTCATTACTAAATTAACTTTTTGGACATCTCATGGAACCCATTTGTCAGACTGAATTAGACTAAACCGACACAATTCCGAGTCAAATGCTGTAAGGCCTATGTGTATTCGCCAGCACTCTTTTCTTGTCGAGATGTGAAGCACTTATTTTAGCGCTTAAGCTTGTTCTTAAGGATACCTTTTTGTAATAGAACTACTGTATTGTACTGGCGAGATGAAATGCAACACCAAACTTTGCCTCTTCACAACTTCATTCCCAATCACCCAATTTATATAAGCTTTTTTTGCTGGAAAAATCTCGGTTTCCTCTAAAGTAGCCATAATCAGGATTGAAAATCTGCTCAAATTCGCATACATCGTCGATGCGTTTAACACGGCATGCAGCAATCCTACGCTGCGCCTGTAGCTAAAAACAGCTTTTGCAGATGAGCTGCATTCCAAGCTGGATTCTGGCGTAAAGCTTGTCATTTAGGCTTCTTCGTTTATTACCAATTAATAAACGAAGAAGCCTAAAGTTTAAATATCGCGAGAAATGTTCTGTGCATCATCAATCTCCCGCAGACGTTTATGCTTCCACCATTTTAATAAAAAGACGAGAAAGTAAGAAAAAAGGTGTGTGTCTGTGATCTCTGTGCTGCCCTGTTTCCATTGCGGGTCTCTCGGTATTAATCAGATAATTACTTTTGTAAATATGGGCAAAACAAAACAAAAATGGTGGTGCATAGAAAAGTGCTCTAAACTTTAGAAACACTCTATTTATTAGGTCGAATAGAGTGCGTCGATAGCTAAGAACACTTTTCTAGCTTAACTTTAATTATGTTTGCAGAATCATACTTCGAAGTACTAATTTAGAAGCGCTCTTGTTGCTCAACCAGTACAGTGACTACTGGTAGCTTACAAATTGCTTGTACTTACATCTAAATTTGCGGAATTCTAAGTCATTGTACTACATAGTAATTCGAAGCGGAAAGCACTCTGGAAATAAAACGAAAAAGTACAAAAAAACTCTGGTCATTCCTATGGCCTTTACAGAACATGTTGAACATCTTTTTTTCTCAATAAGAAACACATTCACGTTCGGCGACCAATTCAGCACTTCATTCCATTCTGAAGCTCTTCACCAATGAGTAGATTGTCTGCTACCTCTTCTTCGATATTTCCATTTGGACGATGGAGTCGTTGATGTTTCTGAACCCCCACGAAGGACTTTTAATATCGGCCGATTGAGTCATCCCATTCCTGTACAATCCGTCTTATTGGTTCTGCACTCGAACCATATTACGAAGAAAGCCGATCAAATGATGAGCTCTATGACTTCGCCCGGAAAACCATTGTGAACAAGAAGATAATTCCGACGACGAAAAGAAAAATTGCGCCATATTTCACCCACACCTTTGCCCATGCTCCCGACGAACTCGTAGTACTGCGAGATGTCCGACATTCGTGACTTGTCTCGAGGAAAACTCTGTTGGTCTTCTTCGTAGCACTCCCGCAAGTCTGTTTAGCTTCACGTTGCTCTTGAGACTCTGAAAAAACCCTGGCTGCTTGGCCACTTCCGTAAACGCCTTGTTGACGTTCGGATTCTTGAGCGCTGTGGCGAGTTCCGGGCTGTTTTTCATTCCAGCTCCAGCGGTTGTACTTTTCGAGAAAAATGACTTGATATTGCTGAAACCAGGTAGCTTGAAGCTCAGCCTCTCTTCGTTTGCTGGGTCGAATGACTCGACTGTAGACTTGAGATAGCGACGAGCGTTGGTGCGGTCCCGCGCCTCAGCCTCCGACGCGGTGTTAACGTTATTACCCTTGGTGGTCTCTTCAGCGACTGCGACGCACGCTGCAAAGGCAACTACCAGGAACACCAACAAGTTGCGTTGGTGCATGATTTCGGGAAGAGCTTAGGAAGCTTCTGGCAACGTCCTGAAAGCTGGGCTCGTTGTCTAGACTCTAGGTTTGGCGGCGGCTCAGAAGTGAACAGCGCTCGTCTCGTACATGTATTGCCATTGTTTTCCTTTTTGCAACCATACCGTAAGGGGCGGACTGATGCTCAGATGGGAAATTGAATACTGAAATCAAGATAATAGGAAAATCTACTATCTCTATCTACTTGCACATGGCATGCAATGCACCACGACTTGACGTAAATGCACATTTACGAAGTGTTGCCAATACTTCCGGTTCGAAAGCGCTCCGACTCGGACAGAATACAGTCAACCCCCTCGGTATTGGTAATAAAAAGTGTTGAGAGACCGCTCTATATTCCATCAGGGTTAAGGGGTTTCCTATCAAAGCCAAAAAAAATGGTAAAACACATCAGTAGATGTCGATGACTTGGCTTATTTGTTCGCGTTTCGCTGCAGCCACCACATTTCATCTTGCGAGCCTTCGATAATAGGCTACCGCTAAAGGGTACTTGTATTATCGTATAACCGGGGTTGCTTTGTACGAATGAGTGTCGTTACATTTTCAGTGAAGATCGAGGAAATACCATGAATGTGCCAATCGCACTTTTCGCAGTCGAACACATCGCATAAATAACGCTAGACAGTTGAAATTCCCACACCACAATTAATGAGGGTACGACTAATTAGCGAGGATTGACTCAAATGTCCACTCAAAGCTATTTAGGGCCAGAATTACGCTCTCTTGTTAGCTCCGTCTTTTAATGCGTGACCAGTTTTTATTTGCATCCTTGAAACATGTAGATATCTGGAATGTTACAGGCCTGTTGATAGCTACCAACCATCCAGTAAATGCACAAGGTACCGATAGGTAAGTATAACTGAGTCTTGGGCGATACGTTTCGTCTTCCATTTTAAGAACTGCCGTCGTCGAATCTGACCTACAGTTCATCCTCTCGGTTCTCACGCCATGCTTGCTATAATAGTACTTTCGCTTTCGCTTTCCAACCAGAAACTGGAAGGTCCTGCCACACATCTCACCATAAACCATGAAGGCGTCTGTCGTCACTCTACTAGCAACGTCAACAGGGTGTATGATGCCGTCCGTTAGTGTCCAAGCCATGCCGATATACGTGCCTCGAATTCCAAACGGTGAAAATGTACCTGGCGTCACAGCTCTTGGACACGAAGATACAACCGGCGAAGAAACGATGCGGAATGTCTTCGGTATCGCCTTTGAGGAAGTCGGCATGGAGTGGACCAAAGAGTTGTGTGAGGCAGACTCCGACGAGGACGGACAGACGAATGGTCAGGAGTTGGGCGACCCATGTTGCATCTGGAAAGAGGGCGACACCGCGCTGTGGACGGTGGGAGTCTCTCACCCTGGAGACGACTCTAAAAAGTCGGACAATTCACGCTGGAGATCACTCGACTGTGACCTCGTAAGAGAAGATGCGGAGGCCAAGGCAGAAGCAGAGGCAGAAGCTGAAGCGAGCAAGAACAGTCCGGACGGAGGTGAAGACAGCGAGGTGGACATTTCCATGGGTAATTCCGACTCGTCTGCCTCCGAAAGGAAATTAGCAAGTTCTATGTCGCTGCTGTTTGTTGCTATCATCCCAGCCGCCCTGATGATGGTTTGGTAGCTTGTTCAAAGTAAAATAGCACTTAAATAATGCAGGCAAGTGTCGTTTCTACTTGGCAGTTGAGCGCTTTCGGGCGGTGATTAATATCGACCAGCATAGAGATTTCTACGAAAGACGGTTTATATTTCACTTTCGTACTTTAAAACCTAAAGATTGATCCATCATGTGCAAACTTGGAGTGCATTTTGCAAACAGCTTTGTCCTTCGAAGTGACAGTTACGACGAAAATGACATTCTCTGAGCTCTCTAAGATGGTGGCCAACCACTTAGTGGAAGGAGAGCGCGGACAGCAGAAAGCACTAGAAACATTTCTGCAATGTTCGACCGACGTGGAGAAGGCCCTAGAGTCTCTATTTCTCTTCGAACTCAAGCAGCGTCGAGTCTCACAAGATGCTATGCTAAAATTTGTCAAATCTCTTCCCCAGGCTGAGTGGATCATTTTTGCTTGCGACCAAATGCTTCAAGCTCCTGATCGTTGGAGCACATGGGCGGTGGCTATTGTGCTACGTAAATGTATGGCGCTAACGACGTGGAAGACGCTCTTGTTAGCTGAAGTCTGCTGGAGCCAACGTCTGAGCTTTACTGACCGGGCTATTGCAAGCAGTACACCAGTTAGAATATCCTCAGCGATCGGAGGTGATACGTTGTATGTCGCTGGACAAGGCTACAATCACGACAAGAATAATCGATCTCCGTTCTGCTGGAGAAACCAGTGGGAATATGACAATAAGAAAGAGCTCTGGCGACTCATTCCTGCTCCAACGGGATCGTCAGACTTCTATATCGTCAGTGTATACGCAGAGGGCTATCTTTGCGCCTCCAACATCTCTGTAGCCAACGATCCTGATGGCTATTTGCAGAAAAAGGCTCTTGTCCCATGTGGAAATTCTCCTCCTGATGCTACCGGAATCTGGCGCTTGGTGACGCTAGAAGAAGATAAATATGCATTTTACAATGCCAGTCAGGATACTTTCCTTAGTTGCCCGCCAGACGCAGCGGATGGATATCGTCGTGGAGTCATAACTAGCACCTTCCATCCTCTTGATGAAAAGCGCTCCAAGCATCGTGAGTGGGAGATCACTGCAGCAACCATGCCATTAATGGAAACAGGAATCTATGACTTTTTCGAGAAGAACTACAAGAAAGCCTCAGTACAAACCTGTCAAGCGATAAAGTCTCCTCAGCGGATCGTGCGAAAATTCTTCACTATCAATTGACCGCAAGCTTGTTGGGCTGTGCTGAATCTGACAATATGCCTCTTAACCTCAAGACTACTCCGATTGTTTCGTGTTCGATCTGCTCGAGGAGTGAGCAAAGGAGGATGACGAGCTTCTACAAAAAATGCGGAATGAGAGACTGGAAGGTTATGTATGTAGTTTCAAAAGAATCATTGGTAGCGTTTTTTAATGATTCTTTCAATCAATTTTCAATTAAAACGACTGTTTTTTTACTACTTCTAGTATATACTTATATTTTAAAATATACCGCCGGGAATGGAAAAAAAATCATTATTATGGGTATTATATATACGGACTAACTGATTACAGTACTGCGTATTGTTATTATTATTGCAGCTTTAAAAAAGAGAAATAAATCGAGAATTAGCAGACTTACAGAAAACAAGGAAAAATTAATTTTAGTAGTAACTATATTTTTTGCTCGGAATTATTTAGTACTGGGAACTGGATATTATAAGTAATTATAGAGCGAATTTTTCAGCAGTTATATAAAAAAAAAAATTTCATGCCCTGGGTTGTCTTCACCTGCGATACATGCTAAAGAGGACTGTACTTTGGAGTCATTTGGCGGTAGGCCTCGTCCTTTTTAAAGCGATGGGCCTGGCGACACGAGATACGCTACTTAGAGCTGAACTGTGCCAGATGTAGCATGTGGTCGAGTGATTATCAGTTCTGCACCTATTACAATTAGCACAGCCGTCAAAAATCAGGTGCTATTAATATGCGTGAGAGATGCCTTCGATGAGCGAGGAAGTGGGGGACAGGGACTTTCATAGTTGTTTTTATTATACGTGCCGATTACCTGACCTCGGATGATGTTGAGCGGCGATGGCGCCGCTTGAACCAGACGACACCGCGGCGACACACACCGACGCAGCAGGACAGCGATCTCTGGTAAACCGCGCTCATACCGATATCCTCTAGTGGATCCAGCAGCGGGTAGTGCTGGCGTGACGCAGGGGCGACGAGGAACGCGTGCCTTCGAGCGCCGACGGAGGACGCAGTAGCGGCGCTGGATGGCAGCACGAGCCGGTACGATTGACTGGGCGAAGTCATGCAGCAATGACAGCCATTGGCGGACCGGTGGCTCGCAGGACGAAGGTGCTGGAACTGAGGCTCTGGTCTCGGGCGTTGCCGATAGGAAAGTCAAGATGAAATAGACACAGCCGGTATTCAAGTACATCAAGTCGCCAAGACTGACGGACCTGGGGCATAATGTTTTGGTGAAGTTTGTGCGCGATCGCCGGCAGCTTTAAGAGAGGATCTGGGAGCGGTGCTTAGCGACGGGTGAAGCGCACGAGACTGTGCTCGTTGGCATCAAGAGCTCCATGGAGCCCAGGGTCCTTAAACACCTGGCACACTACGAGTTCCGCACCTGGCGCACCAAAAGAAGGAAATCACGCGCTGTACTGGCACGATGATGAGCGATCACGTCCCTGACGTGGCCAGGCTATTCAGTAACAGCCTCAAGATGGACATGAAGGTGACGGACATCCACGCACGTGTTGTCAAGTACAAAAACGTAATATTCTTATCACCGGCCTTAAAAGATCCATACTGCCGATAGTACATCAACGGTTTTTACGAGCTGCACGGTTCTTTCTGAACAAGGGCACGTTCGTAGATGCCCCTACAAGTGTAGCCGCCCACAAGGCCACGAGGAGCGACAAGAAGCTCTAAGAAGAGGTCAGCCCCAGAGCTCTCTCGGGAGGCCAATACCCTAAGTAGAAAAAGGTCGGGGTTTCGGTCCATCCCAATTGCAACAGTTATCAGTGGGCCCGCTTGTATTAGGCAAATTTGATTGTGCCTTGGGGTTGCACCATTATCTTCTTCTTGTTGATGGTTATTGTCTTTTTTCGTAGTGATGACGTCGGCAGCATAGCCGGTCCTGTCCGTTTAAGTGGCTACCGTGAGGTGGACCCGGCGATTCATTAACTCCAGTGCCAGCTTGACGAAGGTGTAGAAACGGTCGGGGACCACCAACCTCCACTGGGATGTAAGTGATGGTGGCAACAGCGCAGAAATGTTGCGAAGAACTGCCGCCTCTCCACTATTGTTGTCTTTCGGCACCGGCTTACGAAGATTCGTTTTAACTCTACAATACACCTCAATCCTGTTGCATAATAGCAATCCAAGTAAACGTTAGCACTATGTTAGATATCCTGTCAGGGCCAATCACTTATGTTGATATCAATCCAAAATAAGCACTGAGGCCAATAAAAAGGCCGTGGCAAGCATCATTTTGACACGCCTGGCCTTCATCGATGCGTACGTACCTCAAGCAATATGCTGTGTTCGCACAGGCAGCAACGAACACCGTCGTACCCCGCATATGGGGCTTGTCCCGGTTGAAAATTCGAATGGGGTTGAAGCGAGAACGCGACGGCAACGTCGCTTCATCGAAACTTAAAACGAGGAGGGGGGGGGGGCTTGTACCCTCGAGCGAACGTCCGCTGTAGCACGGTCACCACGGGCCGGATTTTCTGCGCTCGGTCCGTAAGAGCTTGGGATGACTTATTGTTTGAGAAATGAAGATATCCCATAGTATGGAAGAATCTGCTCTTCGACATGTACACGCCGAAAGGGTTTGTTGGTAAGGCGCCAAACTTCTTTGTCGACCGGTGAGCAGCGATTACGTTTTTAATCGGTGCCAGCATTCTGGTGATCAGCAGTGTAACCACTCGCGGCGCCTCCCAGGGATCTATATTCTTAACGTTTGCAAGCCAACGCCTTATCTCACTCAAGTCCTCCAATATAGCAACCGTACCTCGCTGCTGAGCTCGAATCGCACGCGCGCGAAGCGTAACAAACTGTGCGTGATAACAATTGTTTTCAACAGCCACCTGAATCCACAGCTTAGCCGGCATGAAGTTGAAAAGTAGCGCTAACGGGTCATTTGCCACACTGATAGCGCTGCCGCTTGATCCGAAGGTGCCTTTGAACAGATCGTCGTATCTGGGGTCAGGGCCGAGCTTGCTTTGGGTTGAGCACATTATCAAAACCAGGACAACGTTATGTTGGACTTAATGTTGGCTTGTGAATATATCCCGTATCGTTATGTTATAAATTGCCAACAAATCTTACCGTATTCCCATCCACTACGTCACATGGAGGAAACCCGCCGAGAGACCTTCGTAAATGAACACCAGCCCAAGTCAGGAAGCTCCTCCACCTCTTCGTCCGATTTCGCATCGGTAAGAGCACCGATATCCCATTCATTTTCCCCTCCTCTTCTTCTGGTTCTTCACACATGTTCGGATCTTCATCCGAATTGAGGCCTGTGCACAGGCTCGTGCGTTCCACAATTAGGTTTGGGTCCGCCTCAATAATACAAGAGGGTATCGCAATCGTAGCTTCCTCTGGGGCGTCTTGGCCTTCTTCTCGGCTTGCTAAAATCTCGCTGTCCAGGCAACAAACAATTTATGTTATAGGGTATGTGGTATGCTCTTCACGGGCGGGTTTCTTAGGCTAGAGACAATCCAAATAGCTTACTTTATCATCGCTGTCACTGTCGCTATCGTCTTGCAACACGACGCGGCGTCGCTTGCGTGAAGACTCTTAGTCAGATTTTTTCCTTCTCCTAGCTGGGTTGATGGCCGCCGCTTGCTGGTGGTCGAGAAGGTGGCGAAACTGCGGCATTTCCAGCAGATACTACCAGCTCGTCAACGACCGCTGCGACCGCTGCGCTGGCGTGGCTTATGGGAGGTGTTGCAAGAGAAAACACCACAGATTTTGTCACAGCCTTCTCCTTTCCACAAGCGG